AACATCACATTGAAAAGAAGTCAGCTCCAGGAATGCTGCACACCGCCAGCACTGGTATTGAAGTGTCAACATAGACTGTGAGTTCAAAGTCCCAAAGGTGAGAGTGCTAACAATTGCATCAGGTTGACACACCAGGCTTTGGTGAGCTGTGGCAGTGAGCTTCATTGAGACGAGAGGAAGAAAATCACCATGTTATCCTGACCTCCTGTCAATGCCCCTCAGGGATCTGATGTGTGGGTTTCGTTAAAGAGTTAATAAATTACAGATCCCGCAAGTATCCGATGTGTCTGGTGACGACCTGCTGGTATTTCGCTCCAATACTCATATCTGGCCTCTGGAGCTATCTTCAGCCACCATCCAACTTCACACAGGTTGGAAATGAAATCTATGCAGTGAAAGAGTTCAAGCGGATCAGAGTGACAGTCCTGTACTTAGGTTTGTGCGGGATTCAGTGTTTCCGTATCTTTTTACAATTCCCACAAACTGGCCCCTCTCCTATTCCGCTGAGAACATGGAATAAATCGCATTAAAAGGCTGTCATGGTTTAGTCCCATAATTTGTGATGTGGTCTTAAATCCACTCCGTAAATCCCAAATATATTACTCACTCCCAACTGGCGGCTCATCTCAGTCTTAATTGGAATCCTGTCTTTTCTTGTGCAACTGAAGGCTGATATGTTCAAGTGTTAAAGAACAGTAGGTGATTGTCAAACAATATAAAATTGCTATAGGACCTCTTCATGGTTAATCCCAGACAGTGTACGATGATAGGTAGTTTGTGTAAGAGGGCATTATCAGTCAAGCCCGATCTTCACTCCAAGATAGTGGATTGGATTAATGCCTAGTAATTATAGCTTCAGCCCCAGCCCACCTTCTAGCAACTCTATATAATATAAAACTGTTTCAGAACCAAGTGTGCGAGCAATTGCTCTTTTGCCCAGGTGGGTATTAGTTATGTAGTGTCAACCTGCACAGAAAGTACTGCTGGGTTCTTTGAATGTAGGAAAAACGGGTGTGTAAAAGTAATCGCTGAACCGATTCCTCACTCACCCATACTTCGTGTTACACACCCTTGTTGGCCTTCTGAACTACTGGCTCCACAAGCTGCAGATAATCCAGAACTCTGCAACCCATGTCCTTTCCCGCACCAGGCTCTGTGACCCTATCACCCCCATCCTCGCCCAGCTCCACTGGCTCCCCATTACTCAGAGGATACAGTTCAAGATCCTAGTCCTCACCTTCAAAGCCATCCATGGCCTTGCTCCTCCTTACCTCTGTGACCTCCTAACCCCCTACCAACCTGTTTGCTCCCTCCGCTCAGCGGGCTTCAGCTTGCTTCACGTTCCCTGTCTTGCCTGCCCTACCATTGGCAGGTGGGCCTTTAGCCTCTCTGCCCCCACCCTCTGAAACTCCAACCGACAATCCCTCTCCCTTGCCTCCACCCTTGCCTCCTTCAAGACCCATCTCAAGATCTTCTTCTTCGATCGTGCCTTTGATCACCCTGCTATTGCTACCCTCCCCGCCCTCCACCCCTCATGATTCCAACCACCAGCTCGGGTGCCGATCCCTAACTGTCCAGCGCCTTGGGACATCCTCCTGATGTGAAAAGTGCTATAGAAATGTAATTTGTAGTAGTTGTTGTAGTTTCAACACCTTTCACAGGATGACGCCTCAAAGTGCCTCGCAGGATTTGCTGTAAAGTGTAGTATTTTGTAGGCGAATGCAGTGACCAATTTGCACACAGCAATGTCCCAAACTATCATGAATCAAAGATCGTCTGCCAGGACACCGGGAGAGACTCCCTTCATTTTTCGAAAAATGCCTTGTGATCTTCAACATTCACTAAAATAGGCAGCCAGGAGCTCAGGTCTCATCCAAAAACTGCACCTCTGACAGCACTGCAAAGTGTCAGCTTCGACTGTGAGCTCAAGTGCTGCCGTGGGACTTGAACCCACAACCTTCCGATTCAGAGGTGTGAATGTTACTGACTGAGTCAGGCTGACACCTGGCATCCAGACACACTGGGCGGCAGAGATTACTGGAGCATGAGCATGTTTGGATTCCCACCACCCAGAAGTTACTAGAGAGGGTCATTTACCTTATGGAATGGGGAGAAAAACGAAAAGTGGGTTAAAATAGGATAATGGAGTTCTGTAGCATATTGGATAGAGCACTCGCCTCGCAAGCGAGAGGACCCAGGTCCAGGTTCTATTGTCGGGGAGGACGAAACCTTAGACAAGTTTCCTTACTCCACATGTCTGTGTTTACTTAGCAGTAATTAGGAACCCTGTTGTTAGTCGATTGGTGCATCGCTTTCCTTGGATAATAATTCCTTCAAAAAAAAAATAATTTGGTCACTCAATTCACGACTGATTGTGAGACATTGTTGGTTGTGCAATTGGCTGCCGTGTTTCACTGACAAAATGTACAGTCACTACGCTTTACAGTATATCCTGTGAAGCGTTTTGAGACGTGTTAGTGCGTTATTTCAAATGCAACGATTATTATTATTACTATTGTAATTAGACACCAATAACGTAGCCTATGCGATCATCTGCTGTGTGTATTCCCTTACTGGAAGGTACATAAGCTAAATATTGGAAAAGGCCTGGCAAGGTTCAAAAAACTGGTGAGCAACGTACACCACTCAGATATTCCAGACAATGGCACACCACAGGACACACACATCTATTTCTATAAACTGAGGAGACTCGTATACCATGTTTCCCTTCAGGAAACCCATCCACCCTCGCGATTCAAAACAAAGTTCCAGCACACACCCCTCTCTTTTGTGGAACAGATGTTTCTCCAGGGAGAGAGCACCACCCACTCCTCAGTTCCCAAACATTTCATCTCATTCTTTCATGTCCCTGTTAACTCCCCAGGAACACACAGTTCAGCGGACTGGAAATGCCCCTCCTCTCACTCGCCCCCCCCAACTTCTGTCACTCCTATCATATTAGTCCTATTAAAACAAGGCATTTCACGATTCCACAGGGTCAACACAGTTTTTCAGAGAGAGAGGCAGAGAGAAAACAGAAAAAAAAGGAAAACAGAGATTGAGTAAGCAGAGAAAAAAGAAATAGGGAAAGAATAGGGAGAAGGGGAAACAAGATAATTAGAGAGCAAATAAACCGAGAAAATAGAGAGATAGAGAGGGGAGAGAGAAAAGAAGGGAAAATAAGCTGCTACTTGTATAATAATAATAATAATCCTTACATTTGTTACAGTGCCTTATAATTTGTGAAATCCTGTAGTTTAGTGGTTAGAACACTCGCTTCGCAAACGAGAGAACCCAGGTTCGATTCCCAGGTGGGGCAAAACGTTGAGCAAGTTTCCTTACTCTACACGGCTCTGTTTACCTAGCAGTAAGTAGGAACCCGATCGTTAGTCAATTGGTGGATCGTTTTTCCGGGGGTATTAATCCCTTCAAAAAAATGTAGTCACTCAATCCACGACTGTTTGTGGGACACTGCTGTGTGCAATTGACTGCCGTGTTTTGCCCACAAAATATACAGTCAATTCACTTTAAGGTATATTCTGTGAAGCAGTTTGAGACGTGAGATAAAGCGCTATATTAAATGCAAGGATTATTTATTATTATTTCATTGAGGTGCCTCAAAGCGCTTCACAGAATATATTGTAAAGTGGTTGACTGTGTATTAAGTGGGCGAAAGGTGGTAGCCAATTGTGTGCCACAAACATTTGTGGATTGAATGACCACATTTTTTTAAAAAGAATTGTTACTCCCGGAAAGCCATCCGCCAATCGATTAAAAACTGGGTTCCTACTTACTGCTAGGTAAACAGAGTATGAGGAAAGGAGGGAGGGAGAAAGAAAAATATCTCAGTTACTTCTGTTCCACTTGTCAACAACCTTAACAAATCTGGCATGAAAATTTAAAGTGCTCCCAGTGTGACTGGCCTCAGCACCCCTGGTTTCGGGATGAGCAACATTAGACAGCCTGTAAAGAAGTTCCAGAGACCTCCCCCTGTTGGGAAGTGCATTAGTGTGTATGTGTGTGTGTGTGTGGGGGGGGGGGGGGGGGGGGGTGGCTGGGTGTCAGGTGAGGACATGATCGGGCTTTAGCTGCATTCTTCTGACCCCCTCCAACCCAACCCGTTCCTTCTCTCCAGTGTTCAAATAGCCTGCTGACACTCATGCATGAACGATGCCCAAATATACCGCCAGTAAGATGAACACATTCCAGACAGACGCAGTGAGATTTCCATGTGTATGTTGCATGGGGATGCGGAACTCTCTGCCTTGTTTTGGATACTCAGTGTTGGGTCTCTGCATGTGTCAGACAACTGGTTGACCAACAACAACAAAAAATAGTAGAAAAATTAGTCAAAATTCTTTCAGAGAAAGGGAGTAGGGGAGGTAAAAAAAAATTGACATGGGAGGAAAATACACACCAGATGCCCAGGAGAAAAATAGCTAAATATAAATCGCAATGATATAAAATAATATATAATAGTATAATAAACCTTGCATTTGATACAGAGCTGTATCACATTTTTGAGATGTCTCAAAACACTTCACAGAGTATACTGTAAAGTGAATTGACTGTATGTCAATTGAAAATAGTCCTCTCCATAGAGGGGCTTTAACAGAGCTATCGCTGCTAATATTACTGTGCCATAGACTTTTCTCCCCTCTCTCTCGCTTATTAAAAAGGAGGCTGTTTTTCCCTTGATTATTTCCCTGCTGCTGCTGCTTCCAGCCTCCCTATGCCTTGTCATTCACTCTCCTCGCTGCTCGCTGATTGGCGATGTGTTGAGAGTGGGAGGCCCGTGAAGTCCCAGCGAGTACATAGTGGCCAGTTAGACCCTCTCAGCTAGCAGAGTCAGAGCAAACACATTGCTGCACACTGTTCACACAACACTGGAGCACGCTTCCTTACTGCGCTGTCTTCCCTTTTGAGCTTCCTGAAAACTCTTGATCTTCGAAAAGCGACCAAATCCCCCTTAATCCCCCCACACCGCTCCCCCCCCCCCCCCCCCCACTCAAAGAAGTGATCTCCGAGGTGAAGGACTTTCAGAGAGAATGTCGCTTTCAGTTCGAGGAGCTGTGTCCTTGCTGCTGGCTCTGAGCAGCCTGCACCTCCACGAGCAGTCAGAGGCGTGCAGTTGCATGCCGAACCATCCTCAGGATGCCTTCTGCAACTCCGACATAGGTAAGGAGCAGCTCTTTGTAATCATCATAATAATAATCCTTGCATTTGATATAGCGCCTCATCGTATCATTGACACGCCTCAAGGCACTTCAGAGAATATACTGTAAAGTAAATTGACTGTATGTTTTGAGGGTAAAATGTGGCAGCAGTGTCCCACAGACAGTCGTGGGTTGTGTGATCAAATTTATTTTATTTTTTTGGAGGAATTCTTTTTATTTTGAAGGGATTATTCCCCCTGGAAAGCGATCCGCGAATTGACTAACAACTGGGTTCCTACTTACTTCTAGATAAACACAGGCGTGTGGAAGTAAGGAAACTTGTCTAAGGTTTCACCCCACCCGGGAATCGAACCCAGGTTCTCTCGCAGGGGATGAGAGGTGGAAGTGTTAAGCCTGGTCTATTTCTCTACTGAAACATCTGTTGCTTTTTATTTAAACACCAGCATCCTCAGAACAAGAACAGAGGCAACCTCCCTCCGTCCTCCCTGTCCCCCACCCCGAAGCTTTCTTTCCAGACCATTGTCAGCTTCAACGTCTGGCGTAACATGTGTCTGACAGCACCTCTACTTTTACATAGGAAAAAAACATGTTAAAAAGGTAGATATTGCTTTCATTGTTCGTCTACATCATGTCCGTCCCCAAACTGGCCACAATCTATCTCTAAGGCTCGTCAGGGGCAATAACAATTTTGAGTTTTTATTGTTTCAGCAGACATAAGGGAGTTTAGGAACAGAAGATGGTTATTCAGGTCACCCAGCCTGCTCCTCAACTGACCATTCCAAGGCACTACTCACGATCACATTCCCCATAATAATGATATCATGTAAAAAGTTGACCTCAAATGTAAATGGATTGCGATGTTCTAGAGAAGCTCTAGAACGAGTCTCCGGAATACAACTTCCTGAACTCATGGGACCAGTGGGCTCCCATCACCGTGAGAAGGCAGGGAAGTGGCATTAAGAGTCCAGTATCATAGTGGTCAGCACTCTCGTTTCTCAAGCGAGAGGTCCCTGGCTCACTTCTCAGGCGGGGCGAAACCTTAAGCAAGTTTCCTTATTCCACCTGCCTCTGTTTACCTAGCAGGTAATAGGATCCCAGTTGTTAGTCAATTGGCGGATTGCTTTCGATGGGCAGTAATCACTCAAAAAAAATGTGGTCACTCAATCCAAAACTGTTTGTGGGACATTGCTATGTGCAATTGGCTGCCATGTTTCACCCACAAGTATACAGCCAATCTACTTTACAATACGCTCTGTGAGTGTTTTGAGACGTCTCAACGACGTGATGAGGCGCTATATCAAATGCAAGAATTTTTACATGATATCATTATTATGGGGAATGTGATCGTGAGTAGTGCCTTGGAATGGTCAGTTGAGGAGCAGGCTGGGTGACCTGAATAACCATCTTCTGTTCCTAAACTCCCTTGTATCTGCAAAACCAATTGCAAAAAGCTTCAGAACAAATGGAAACCTTTAACAAGCTGAGGTAGTCGAAAGTGACTACTGGCTTGGGAGATTCTGCAAAGTGTCTCAAACACAGTTTTGCGGTACATTACTGTGCGCAAATTGGCTGCCGCGTTTGCCTACAAATACGCAGCCACTACACTTCACAGTAAATTTCTGTGAAGCACCTTGAGACATCTCGACAATGTGGTAAGGCGCTATAACAAATGCAAGCATTATAAAAAGGATGGCTTTTCTGTGTGATTCAAAACGGCTGTAAAGTTGTGCTCTATCACTTGGCTCAGTTGGTAGCATTCTCAACGCCCGAGTCAGAGGTTGTGGTTCTAGCCCCACATCAAGAGCTTTTAGCCTGGTTTGATACTAAAGCATACTGATGGGTGAGCACTGCATTGTCGGATGTTAAATCAAGGTTCTGTTATGCAGATGGGAGTTAAAGATTGCTGTTTGCCTACAAAAAAAGTGGACACTGGACTAAACAGTAATTACCTGTGAAGCGCTTTGACACAGTTCGACGAGATAAGGTGTCATTAAAATGCTAGTTCTTTCCTTCCAACACGTTTCACAGCGTCCCATGCCCCACAACACACCCTGCATGAGTCTGATGAACCACCCGCTGGGTCAGGCGCTCTTTTCAATCATTGAGAATAGACAAAAATTGAGCATCCATTGCATTCAAAGTTTGCTTACAAATACAGGCACCAGGCTTCACAGTAAAATCCTGTGAAGTGCTTTGAGATGGCTTGATAACATGATAAGGCGCTATGTCAAATGTAAGGATTATTATTGTTGTAAAAGTTGCTAAAATTTGTGTTTGGCAATTTTAATTTGTTAGATCATTGAGTCTGTCTTCAGTCATACTACAGCCGGGGTAACTACAGTTAGGGGAAAATGAAGAGGGTAAGGTGACTAGATTGTCACTTTAAGTGCTCAGGGCCCTAAAACCTGCCCAGGAATGAGTTTCTCTATGAGTTTCTCTCCTTACTACCATGGGGAAGTGTCTGGCTTATCCCAACAATAAAGAGGCAGTAAATGGGACAGGAGGGGAGCAACCCTCTGTCACACTCCTGGACATTCCTGGTGCAGTTTGCTTCAGGATTGGGGGTTAAAAGCACGAGGTCTGACGGAGATGAAAGCAAGACGACCACATGTGGAAGAAAGCTCAAGTCGAGGTGCAGAAGCCCAGGGATGCTTCCTGAATGTAACTCCACTCTCCTACTCTCCTTCTCACCTCACAAGCTCCAGATACATTTGAGATGATGAGGTGCAAGGAGCACCCCCTGAAAATCTCTTTAGGAAGCTAATAAACTTGTGTTGAGAAATGGTGACAAAATCGTCATTGACCAAACTGTTTAAAGTAGCAGGTACATCACTTGCTATTGATCATTCGATATTTTGAACTTCTGATACCTGAAAAGCTAACTGGTCCCTGCAAAAATAGTAATAATAATCCTTGCATTTGATATACCGCTTTTCATGTTTTCTAGACATCTCAAAGCGCTTCACGGAATATACTGTAAAGTGAATTGACAGTATATTTGTGGGTGCAACGCAGCAGCCAATTGCGTACAGCAGTGTCCCACAAACAGTCGTGGATTGAAGTGACCAATTTATTATTGGTTTTTTTTCTTGAGGGATTATTATCAGGCGTGAATAAAATTGAAATGATGTATTTCTGACTGAAATGCAAGTGAGTAAAAGGAACACGGAAAATGTCATGTGCAAGTTGGATATACGGAACTCTCAATTTGGTTTGGGTACACTTAAGCATGGTGATGGGGTTCCATAAGTGTCAGACACTCAGCTGACAAAAAAAATAGTCACGTATAGTGACTGATTTTAAAGACAAATATGACATCATTATGCGTGCAGAAAAGTTCACACAACAGCCAAGGGACAAAGGAGCAAATTACTTGGAGGACTCCTGGCTGGGAAACTGGAAGAATCTCCCTTCTCTTTTCGAACAGAGTCCTTATTGGGCTTCATGTTAGAGAATATCTGAGAAGGTACAACAAGAAGTAGTGACGGACAGCAGGAAAGGAAATCACAGGTTTAAAGATCTCAACTGAACATGTTGCTCTATGGGAATTGACAGCAATTTGTGTGCTACAACTCATGTAACCAGATCTAGAGATAATTTGGGGAACAGGAGGTGAGCAGACAGTGAATAAAGAGCCTGTGATCAAGAGAAAAGAAACCAGAGATCAAAGAGAACCAATGCTCAGCCACTGGAGAGGAAAGAAATATGAAGACTAGCAGATTAGAACTAAATAGATCAAATAATATGAAGACCCTTCGCTCCCACTAACTCAGCACCAAGAAAAGATCAGTAAACTCCTCATTCCCACCGCTTCACCAGAATGCCTGTATTTATCTGTTCATTCTCGAGGTGAATCTATTTTTAATCAGTGGAGGCGTTGCAAATTAGTACTGTGAAATACAACATTTTCCTCCCACTGTTGACATCCAGTAAAACAATGGTTAGGTAGAGAGTAAAGTTCCCTCTACATTGCAGACGGGTTAAATGGCTCAACTATAGGACTCACCCCAACTTTGCAGCACACTCCCAGCTCCAGATTGGAGTGTCAGTCCTGACTATGTGAGCCCACAATGTCAGAACCCACAACCTTCTAACTCAGAACAACAACACAACAACAACAACAACAAAATCACATTTGGTAAGCACCTTTCATATACCAGAGTGCTACCAATTGAACCAGGTGACACACAGAATAAAGTTAATTCCATCCTTCACTTCTAATTCAGGTGCAACAGTGGTTAAATACAGAGTAAAACTCTCTTTCAAATCCATTTAACATCTGCGTTGGGTCATTACGCATTTATGTATATTTGAATAAAGAATTAAATCGCTATAAAACCTCCACACACCAAACAGATGTTGCTATAATAAATGAGGAATCCAGGGAAGTTCTCGGAGCTTTAGACATCCTATATGTTTGGTTACAGGGAGGAGGATGTCAATTGGACTCTTTTCAAGTTTCAGAACATTGCATTTTCTGAAAGAGAGAAAATGCTTTTGGCATTGAGAGACCATATTGACATTCCATGGGGACTGATGCCAAGATGCTCCTAAAGTTACGTAGGGGATTGGGGAAGGGAGTCTGAAAGGGAAAGAGGGAAGTAGGCTTTATAATAATCATAATAATCCTTGCATTTGATATAGCGCCTTATCACATCGTTGAGACGTCTCAAAGCGCTTCACAAAATATACGGTTAAGTGGATTGACTGTGTATTTTGTGGATCAAATGCAGCAGCCAATTGCGCACAGCTGTGTCCCACAAACAGTCGTGGATTGTTTTCTGAGGAATTATTGTCCCCAGAAATCGTGCAGCCAATTGGCTAACAGCCGGGTTCCTACTTATTGCTAAGTAAACAGAGGCCAGGTAAACTTCAGACAAAAGCTATCTATGGCGGGGGAGAAAAGAATGCGTCATCTCGGTTCCTGCTAACGATTTCTCCGATTCCAACTGTGTGCGATGTGTGTACAGGGAGAAAATTCGGTGTCGTCCCTTCTTGCAA